AGATCTCTGATGCTAAGACATCATGAGGCAGGAAAACAGAAGGAGTTAGGCACATCATAAATCACTGACATTGATTTAAAAATAAAAATAAGAAATAACTCCTGCAGATGTTAAACTGTACCTGAATATAGACATGAATGAAAAAGAAAATAGTTAAGTTTGGATTGTACAGTGTGTGTACAATCCAACCCCAGCACACTTAACTTTCTTTTTTATACATAACACATATACACATACACATACTCACAACCATGTCCCATGTCATATGAATTCAGCCCAGAGAATGGGAGAGTGAATGTGGAACTGTTGTTCCACATAATATCTTAGCATAATATCTTAGTCCATTCAGGCTGCTATAACAAAAAAACTTTAGACTGGGTAATTTATAAACAACAGAAATTTATTGCTTACAGTTCTGGGAAGCTACAGGCTGGGAAATCTAAGGTCAAGACACCAACAGATTTGGCGTCTGGTGAGGGCTCACTCTCTGCTTCACAGACGGTGCCCTTTTGCTGCATCCTCACATGGTGGAAGGGGCAAACCAGCTCACTCAGGCCTCTTTTATAGGAGCACCAATCAACTCTGGAAGCCCCCACCCCTCAATACTATTGCACTGGGGATTAGGGTCAGCATATGCGTTTTTGTGACACAGACATTCAGGCTATGGCACCCGATTCCACTGAATGCTAGCCAAGCCTATCATTCACTTGGGTTCAATTTCCCTATCTTCAAAAAAGTGGAAATAATCATTGTCCTGTTGACAATGTTTAAGGTCATCAATCTGAGGTAATAACTAACAAATCCTTAATATGACTGAAAGCACTAGATACCTTCAAAGTATACACTAAGTATGTTTTTAAATAATAAAATAGCTACAATTTATTGAGTGTCTATATGTGATGTGTGTTTTATATAATTTCATTTGGTTCTATGAGCATCATATATGTCATCATCATTTTACAAATGAAAAAAACAGGGGCTAAAGAGAAACTAAAGTAGCTTGCCCCAGGTCACCCAGCTTGTAATCAGCAGATATGAGATACAAATACAGATCCATTAGACTCCATGCCTATATTCTTTGCACATATGTATTAGTGATAAGAAATTTTCCAATTACTTTTACATTTATTAACTCCATTAAAAACATTAAATTGCATGATTCTGAAAATGTTATTCCTAATGGATGTTGTCTAGCATTAGTAACCTCATATTTGAAAAGTAATTTATTTTTTTCAAACAGGTTCAATTTTCTCATTTAATTCACACAACGTTGGGAAGGAAGTATTTAATACCCATTTTATAAATAAGGAAAATTGAAACACAGAGATGTTAAGTGCTTTGCATAAAGAAACTAATAAGTGGCTGAGACAGGTTTTAAACAGGATTCATCTTACTCCAAGTCCAACAGTCTTTTCAAAACACATATGGAAGTTGGCTTGAGACTGTGGGATTGCTGAACAAAAGGTTGAGAAAAAAAGTGAAATTTCCAAAAAGGCTTTAAAATAACTTTAAAAGGACATTCACCCTCTTTTCATTACCCACACACTAGAGTAACCAACATTAAGTTTACCAATATTAAGTTTACCCTTTCATTCTTTTTAAAGTGCTAATAAAAACATATACAAACATTATAGTTTTAACGCTTTTCATTGTTTTAAATACATCTATAACTATTTGTAATTAGATTTTTTTCTGTTTACATCATTCCAGGTAAATCATATGAATCTAATTACTTTTAAAGATACGGACGAATTTACAAGGACAGTAATTCAATTCAACAACTATTTATGGAGCAGCTGCTACATGCCAGGCACTGTTCTGAGCATGGGGTCCAGCAATGAACAAAACAGACAAAAATGCTTGCCCTCCAGCTTACACAGTTTGCCAGCCACCCCACTTTTATCATTAACAATTTTAGCACATGTATTTGCCAATACAACATATAACGTATTATTTTAATAGTTGCATGAGAACTGGACAGTCAGTTCAGTTGGCTAGAGCTTAAAAAAACCAGTTGTGTGACATTCTATAGTATGGGTTTATGAAAATTTATTCAACCATTTCTTTATTGGTTTACAATCCGTTTAGATTTTGTTTGGATTTTTGCAACCGATGTTGCAGTAAACACCCATTTTATATATTATACACAGTTTAGTACTTCTACATAAAAAGAGTCTAACCTGGGTAAACAAAATCTAGCAATCCCACCCATTTGTTCTCACTAACCTACTTCTCCATTTCCCAGGTGTGCTCACTGGCTCTGGTACTATCCACCTAGGTGGTGCTGAAGCAGGTGCTTGCTCTACGCTGTCTAAAGCCATTCCCAGTACAAAAATTCCATGCTTGCCAAAATCACCAGCTGTCAACCAACTTCTGTCTCGAAGACTCTCTAATCACACTTAATATGCAAATCTAAACTCTGCGGTGTCGCATGGGGGCCCTGCCAATAATCCTTTAACTCATCCTTCCTCTTGGCCACTGTCACCCGCTATACCTTAGGCACATGCCAGTTGCCTTTTACGGAGTTAATGGCTCATCATTCAAGATCTATGTAAAGATTAGTGATTCATTGCACCCTGTCATTCTTGAGACAAGGGTACGAATAACGGAAATGCACACCCACAAGAAGGTATAGCTCCTTGAATACGGTTACTTTCTTTTCCTTTGTCTTGCGTGTGGCCAATCCAGTGTGGGTTCCTAATCCAGTGTGGCTGGCAGTCCACCTTAGATGGAATTGCGTCTTCCCTCAGCCATTTCCCCTACGCTTTGAAAAGACTCATATTTCCTGAAATTTAAATCACTAGCAGAGGTTTCCTCTCCCGCTTCCCGTCTCCCTGTCCCCTCTCAGCCTCCTCCTGCCTGGCTGGGGCCGGATCCGGGAGCAGCAGTGTCCACATCCCTCGGATGGCCGCGGCGGTATCCGGATCCCGGGGGTCTCGCTCTTTGGTGCAGCCGCTTAACCCCAGTGCCCTCCTCCCCCGCCCCCGCCCC